ACAGCTTAAGGAAATCTTAGCAACCTCTGGGTTCCCCGGAACCCTGGTTGAGAGTGCCTGGTTTAGTGAATAGTAGTGTCCCCTTCTAATTACAATATACAAATCACTAGAGGGGCTAAAAAGAAGTACAGATGATTTGGCACATTAAAGAGTTCACATGCATGTACAATTTTTGGGTCTCTTAATTCCAAAACCATGGGCACTAATATAGGTATAATAAGGGGTCAAAACTATAACTTCCAGTCTGGAAAGGCTTTTCAAAAGATTTTGGAATATGTCTGCAGGAATTTTGTACCAATTCACAATTGGTGTTCCAGCTCATCCCCAAAATGTTCAGTAGGGTCAAGTTCAGGTCTCTGTACAGCGCACTTGAGTTCCTCCACACACCATACTCGTCAAAACATGTCTTTATGGGTTTAGATTTGTGCATCCCAAAGGCAATATCAAAAATTCCTGCACAAGTACCTAAGAATTGGACACACAAGAACATGATAATTGTTTTCATGAAATAGCATTGTTGCTATTATTATTTATCCACTTTTTAAAGCAAATAATTCTTTGTGAAGCAGTTTAGTAGGAATCGGCAAAAACATTTACAAGTTGTGTTGAAAAGCCTCTGTGTTGTTCCAGAAGCTTTTTGCTTGCAGTACGTTTTTTTTAGCTGGTTACTGAGCGACTGTCAAGCCTTTTTACTCGGCTCCGAGTCCTTGCCTTGTGTCCCCTTGGTGTCTCGCAGATTATTCAGCTCAGATAGCAATCAACTGGGAGACGCGTGTGTCTAATTTGCATTAGATTATTCGAAACAAAAAAAAAAAAAAAAAAACTGCATTAGTCAGGCTGGTGATAAACAACGGCAAGGAGTTTATAATAACAGACGACTCTTCAGCGTCCTTCTCTCTCGGACAATCGTCTCTTGTTAACCTCTTATCATCCTTGTGTTGGCGGGACCGGGCCCTCGTGTCTTTGATGCCCTTTTTGTGTGTTGCATTACTTGTGTAAATAAAGTCTGCAAATTATTAAGTGCTGAAGCCACAATACTTTGATCTTGTTGACTTCTCTAGTCTTGTTAATAAAACCATGTGCAAAAAAGGCAAAACATGGCAGCCATTCATCTTCCACAGACATGACTCTAGGTAACGAAAATCTGATTGACTGCTGGCGGTTTCCACCTATGGTTGCTGCTGGTTACTACTTATTGCTCTCTCCACTATCTCATTGTATTGGTTCTATTCTGTAGAAGTCAACAAATCACAATGCTGCTTCAGTTGCGACCGGTGCGCTTATTTTTTGAGACATTACTATTGGTGTTATGTTCTGTTCCGTGATGGTCATCTGCAAATACAAGGGCTTTGGTTAACAAAAGAAAAAGGTGTCCCTGTAGGTGAGTTCTCATTCTTGGCCAGCTCACACTTACCTAGAATGGGTCAACATCTTGTCTTCCTCAAATTGCCTGCTGGCAAAGTGGCAAGATACCTATGAGGGTGGCTTTCAATCATTATTATCAAAGGCCCAAAAATTATATCAGTGGGGACTCAAAGTCGCTACGGTCCTCAGATGGCAGCCTGCAGCACATGTGTGAAACACCCTCTCAATGGCCTTTCTTAGAAATGATCATTGTACGAATGTGCAAATTTTCATTTGACATGTGCATGTTTTGCGATAGAAGGGGGAGGGAGTATTTTACTATAAGAAGGAGGAATTATTTTAGTAGCAACCAGGGTAGCGAGCTATTATAGCGGAGAACAGTCAACCTCCCCAAGAGTGCATGGCCATGAGATGTCAGAGAGGATCAATAGATGCAAGACCTTATCCCATACAATCTTAACTAGTATATACAAAAGTTCTCTTATGTTTGAAGTTGCCTCAGACATATTGAAGCCTATAGTCCCTTAGGTTAATATAACACGTTAGGTGGCTACACTAGATCAGATGTGGAAATGTTTCCTTTTGCTTTTCACAAAGTAAAATCTAAGTTACTGTACTGTGTACAACAAGTAATTGATACTTACCTTCATGGACAGAAGCAAGATTTTCAACAGACTTTGGGATACCTAGCTACGTTAACCCATAGAATGAGTTTATATCATCTTCACTTTGGAAAATTCACATTAAATTATAACTATATACAAAACGTTTAAAAAAAAAATGATTTTAGTTTTGATAGAGTGGAGAGGTATTAGAACATCGCCAATTTTTGTTGCTGTTTATGCCCCGTTAGGGAGATTCACACTCACTATAAGTCCTGTTTAGTCTTATCATTGAAAGTAAAATAAAATCACAAATTTTGGGTTGTAACCAGAAAAGTAATTGAGAAGAAATCTTCCAATGGAGACACTGGTTCTGGTGACCTGGGGGTCCCCAAAGCATTCTCTTCATTTGCAGGGATTTCCTCTCACATCCTGTTTGATTTTGGGACAGGAAGTGAAGGGAAATCTCCGCAATGGGACACAGATGGCAACAAAATAAATTTGACAGAGGTTTTAACCCTCCCTTGCTCTGTCAAAAAAAAAAAAAAAAGTTTTGCCTATAGCTCTTGTGTCAGATGTCTATGTGTCAGATGTCAGAACTTCAGTGGGTAGTGAAGGTCTGCCATTTGACAGTTGAATGAGAGAGGCAGAATTTGCAGTTGAAGCCTTGTGTACAGTTTGGGCATAGGGGTGTCCGACATTTTGACCTTCCACGGCCACATTGGAAGAAAATGGATTGTCTTCGGCTGCACATAAAATACACTAACAATAAGGAAAGCCGATGAGCAGAAAAAGTCAGGCAGATCACAAGTTAAGAGTCACTGATATAGATGATGTACCTGTCTGAGTAATAAAACTCCATTTTTGTTTTGTAATTTTTTTTATAAAAGTAAAAGAGGGCAACATAAAACTAGTGCGATATTTGACACTGTTTTTGATAAACGAACACATCAATATCTGGATGGATGTAGTAATGATTCTCAATGAATTCTCCAGGTGCTCATCAGATAGTTTAGTTCTAGTTTTGCCCTTCTTGTGCTTCATCCTTGAAAATAGTTGCCTACAGATATAGGTGCTGCCAAAAACTGATGACATGAATAAGGCGTGATTGTGAAGAGGGGGAGATTTTTCTTTGGGAAGATAAAACTTATAAAAGTCCAGTAAAGAGACACTGTCACATTTTCATCAGCCGCATGTGTTTGCTAAGTGTAAATGCATTTTTACAAAAAAATTCCTCATTTTTAAGTAAGTTTGCAATTTTGTGTTGGACCGCATTCATAACCGTCTTGGGCCACAGGCTGGACTTGCCTAATCTAAGGGTTGTCCACATGCGCTAACATGGATCAATTTGAAGACTAATGCAAGTATTTGCAGCTGTAATAGATGTTTCCTTAGATACATCTTAGAACAGGTTAGGCCCACTGAAAATTACATTGTAAATGTTAGTATCTTATTGGCAACATTGGAAATCTCTTGACAGAGTGGAGGGTTTCTTGTAAATCCTTGATAACCTATGGTGTTGCCAAGATAGAAATCCTGGGGTCTTCCAGGAAGAATTGGCACATCTTGCATTTCCCATAATTTGAAGCACAATAGAGTTGGATCCTGATCTGCATTTTCCTAAGTGTTGGATGTACACCCTTTGCTGGTTCTTGTTCCCTTTGTGGGTGGTTCATATCAACTCTGAGATGGACTACTCCATTATGGAATATGACCACTTGTGCATCTGAGTTGTGAATAGCATAAGTATCTGCATTTGTAAGCGTTCTGAAGAGGACCATGTCCCTTCTGCATACTGGTAGTGTAGGTGGGATGATACATGCAGTTCTTTGACACTTCAGAGACTCCTATGGTGGTAGGTGGCTTACTAACCCAGGGTTTCTCAACCAGGATTCCTCCAGAGGTTGATATGGGTTCCTTGAACAATGAGCAATTTCTGCCTCTCAGATAAGTTCCCACTGACACCAATGATCTTTTTAGCTATCTGTAAGAGGGTAATTCTTTCCAATGGTCACAAGTGTAAGGAGCATTCTTTCCACTGACCATCACACTAATGTATCAGGATTTGTAGATAGTCATTTTTAGCCGGGAGACAGACCAGAAAGTTATTTCAAGGGTTTGTGTTGAAAAAGGTTGAGAAAGGCTGTACTATAATCTGGGCAGCACTATTATAGATCAAATAATGTGCTATCATTGTTTATGTAGGCCAAATGTGTTCTTAATAGTGCTTCTAACAACATTACAAATCGTTCTAAAATGTTAGGAGCAACGTGAAAGATTTTTCAGCATTTACTCTCCAAATTGTCCAGTCCTGCCATAGACACCAAGCTTGGTCAAATATGTAGCAGCCCCTGGCATATCCCCCAGTGGCACTACTTGGCATTCTTTTGGTATTCCATTCTCTGTTCATATAATCACTTTGTGAGCTTTTTGATTTCCTTTTTATTTCTGCGTTTGTCATAAAATATAGACTTCTTCTCCTTCTCTGTAGTAATGATGCACTTTAACGAGCTGCCTCTTTACATAATTAGCTCTGGTTAGTTTTCCATTCTCTTTTCTTTTTGTCTGGTTTCGTGGGGGTTTTTTTTTACGTGAGCTGAATCAAGGACACTAACCTTTAACCAGGACAGTTCCACCATGTCTTAACCCCCCCCCCCCCACCCGCGCAGCCCAACTTCTTGGTGACAGAGGAGTTAATGGCGGACGGAGCAAATGAAAATGAACCATGTTTGCCGTTGATGAGGAGCTTGCAATGTATCAGACTCGAGCTGCAGTAATAAAATTGCTGAGAAATTAAGCAAATTGAATGAGAAACATCAAACCTCGAACAATTTCTCCGCCCAGACTCCGAGCCTGAGAGATTGAGCGCTATATAATTCACGTTTTGTCTATTTTACTTTCTGGCTTATATTTTAACATGACAGCAGTGGAATTGGACGATGTTGTTTTTATTGAAATATCAGACCATAGCTCAGCGATGTCGGAGGAGCAGGGAAGATCTGACTTTTATCTGTTCTTTTTTTTTTTCTTTCAGGATTAACCGATGAGGAGATTGAGTTGGCACTACAGCAGTCGGGCACTGCCCATGATGACCCATCACCTTTGGGTGCCCCTGGCCTGCCCCACCCAGGGCCGTCTCATCAGCTGGCAGTTCAACCATACAGTGAGTCATATTTAATGTTAATGAAATATTAATTAGTTCCTGTAACCTTCGGCTCCATTGGGAAAAATGTCCACGCTTTTCAACAAACTGAACATTTTAGTTTAAAGAAGCAGTTATCTGTATGTGCCTTTTGTGTATTTTAGTTTGGCCATTTTCTTCTAAGGTTCATTTTGTCCAAGTAAAATAATTAACCACTTGCCACTCAAGGATGTCACTGTACATCCTTAGGTTTCAGTGGTTATATTGGTGCCATGGCTGAAGCTTTTTTTCTCAGCCGGCGATGCTGAATAAAGTAAAAGTGTTCTGAGTGTTTGGGTTGCTTTTAAAGGTGGTGAAAGTGGGCCCCCCCCCCACCACCACCACCACCACCGCCTTCCCCGGCTCTACCATCCCAGCCTCTCCCATCACACTGCCCAGGAGTGTAGTTGGCAGTTCCACCAGCTGACTATAGAGATGACCGAAGACCGGAACGTTCTTGATCATGTCTATGGTCTAAAAACGGAAGAGTATTTTTCTTACTTCTGGTTTCAGTCTAATGTAAACAGAAAATTACCGGTATGTGAAAGAATCAGATCAATCCGATCTGGGTGGGTTTGATCTGATGCTTTGAAGGGGAGAGGAGAGATTTAGGGTGTGAGGTTTTTCTTTTTTTTGGGGGGGGGGGGGGGTAAGGTGCAAATGATCAGCACAGGGCCGATCAGCACTGTCCAGACAGAGGGTCAGGAGTTGTGCGGCCTCGTAGGACAGTCAGAGGAGAATGTAATTCCCTCCTGCAGGTTCTTAGCGCAATTTTAAAGCGTGACATGTTCGGCATCTAGAAAACAAAGAAAATAACTCGTCGGAGGGGATTGCATTCTCCTCTGACTGTCCTATGAGGCTGCTTAACTCCTGACCCTCTGTCTGGACAGTGCTGATTGGCCCTGTGCTGATCATTTGCACCTTACCCCCCCCAAAAAAAAAAAAAAACCCAGAAAAACCTCACACCAAAAATATATGTTCAGGATCCACCAGAAGCCTAGACCGGCACCTACTCTCAGCTCTTCAGCGATCCACCAAGAGAATGAACCAGCTCCTCCTGCCCCCTCCACAGCTCAGCGCTCCAGTCATGGCTCTCTGCTCAGATTGGAGGGGAGAACTGAGCGATCAGAGATGTTTGATCGCTGAACTCTCACAGCAGAGCCAGTTTGGGACAGATGTAGCATTGGATCAATGCGGCATCCACCTAGGTGAGTGTAAAGAAGCAGTGTGGTACAACATACTGTTCTGCCCTGAAGTGGACACCATAGGCAGGACAGTCTGGCACGGCTCAGACCTTTTTCATAGGAACGTTGGCAAATAGAGTATGTTGCAACAAAACACATCTCATTCAGCAATCATTTATTACAGGTTACTTCAAACCTTACCAGCTCTCTGTAAAACTTTTTTTTTTAAGGTTTCTATAATTTACATACATTTTTGAGCTGTTGGAATATGGTCTTCCAAAGGCATATCACCATAAACATATTTACAAATGATTCATAAGGTGATTTCATGGTAGATTAAAGGTGAATTCCATCTTTCCCTTCAATCTTGCACAGTTATACCAGCTCCTCTTCTGGACTGAAATGGCTTAATCTAATTTCACTGCACACTGTGAGCTTCTTACAATGTGCGTTAGAAGCTGCAGCAAGTCAGGGAGAGCCCGCCACATTTCCTGGCTGGAGGAAGTTCAGCATCATCTAGCACTTTCCTCCCCAGCCTGACTGTCAGTGGCCTGCCCCTTTCATTCATTGGATTTCAGTTCTTTCAGGAGGCTCAGCATCAATTGTGACTGTTGCCTAGGGAGGTCTGCAAGTAAATACAGCCTCTCTAAAAATGCCCACTCCTCCAGACTGATGTCTACCAAGGTATAGTGATATTTATATAACTCCTCCTGAGAACCAACTCACTGCTTGCATTAGAGATGAGGGCTCTTGAGAGGAGTAGTGAGGCAGGGTGCCGTAATGTTCTCAGGAAGCTATGGTATAGCACCCTGACGGCCCCTCCGATCAACCGTGATCTGCATGCATTACATAGAAGAGCACAGAGATACAATAATGACATCATTGGGTCTAAAATAACTTGTGTGCGTATGTTAAGTACCATTTTCTCAAGTCCGATTCCTAGCGATTTGATAAATGAAAGATCTAAAGAGAAGTCCATTTTGTGCTAGTTTAGTGAGATCCTCCAGTGCCATCCCCACAGCTGTAGTCAATGTGTCCAACCATCTAGTACCCGGGCCCCTCTCTTCACCTGGTTCCTTCCATCTTCCCAAACATTATTTCCTTTTCCAGTGATCTATTTTCTGACAGTGTGTATGTAAGGTATGTAATGAAAATGGAAAAACTTTTTTATTTAAAAAAAATCCAAGCAGACTAAACTTCAGCTTTACAGCCCAACTCCAAGCCAAAAAAAAAGAAAAGTTTTTTGATGCACCAGGGCTATACCTGCACTGCATGGGTTAACTGCTTGTTTTGTCCATGAACAAACAGAAAGCTAATACTCACCCAATCATCCAGCCCCATCCTTCTGCAGCAAACAGCTCTCTCCCCATGATCCAGCAGTGAACTGTTCCTCATGTCCTCTAGAGCAGGTCTATGGGTGTGATGTCAGGAACAGTCTACTGCTAGAGATCGCTAGACCTCGGGGGAACAGGAGCCGCAGGGACTGGTCTTGTTCTGGGAGGTTAGGTGGATCAGATAAGTATATCTACCTTCTCTTGTCCCCTAGCCAAAAATTAGCAGTTACCCTCTACAGTGCAGGCACAGCCCCACTGCAAGGGAAAACTTTTTTTATTTTTGCCCAGAGTTGGGCTTTAAATATATCACCCTTGAAGTGGAACTGAAGGGAGGAATACTGAACTTTCCTCCAATGGCCCCTGTCCCTCACTGGCCCCAGCATCTTCTTCTGTGTGCTGGTTTTTGGACATCTTTAGTGGCTGGTGCAGGATGACGTCACTCCTGTGCAGGAACTATTCACTCCGGCACATAGAGATGCACATGCACAGCTCCGTTTACGCAGAGAGCAGGCAGGTGGGTATATTTTATTGCAGAAGAGATGTTGTGTGACAGCGGAACTTTAGTTCTACTTTAATAATCATCTGTAGTTTCTGATAATGTTTTATGATAAAAGGGTCAGTTTCCCAAAAAATTATATTTAAAGGAGAAGTACAGCCAAAGCTCATTTGGCTGTACTTCTCCTGTGGATCACAGTAGTGCAGTTCATTCTGCAGTCCTGTGACCCTTTTTCTGTCGACAACGGTCTATTGTCTGCTGTTGGCTGATGTTACTTAGCTGGTCCAATCTGGGGAAAGACTAAACAGGCTGAAATACTGACACTCAGTGGCTGAATACACCCTAGCTATGGGAACTCTGCCAAATTGAGGTTTTATCTGCCAAACCCAGCTCTGATGAAGAAGGGATCACCCTTCGAAACGCGTTCGCTTTTATCTCCCCTTCGGATGGAATTTGCATGTGACCTGTAACCCTGTGTGGACTATTATTATTATTATTATTACTACGAGTTTATATAGCGCCAAAGGGTTTGCTCAGCGCTGTACAATAGGGGGGGACAATACATGGCACAGTACAACAACAACAAACAACGTACGAGGGGTAAGAGGGCCCTACTCTTACGAGCTTACAATCTAGGAATTAGATTATGGTTATTTTATGCCTGTTTTATCACTACTCTTGTTAGTATGTTTCTTTAATAAAATTATTCATTGTTTACTGAGGTAATGCGCAAGGTTGGTGCGCTCTTCCTTTTATCCTCTTCTACAGTTTTTTATCAAGCTTCATGATAGAGCTGCACAACCTTTGATCAGCATTGGATGAACACACTGTTCGTTAAATCTTCCTTTGGTCTGAGTCCTTGAGCGCAGGAGATAATGGATGTATGTGAGTCTGGGGAAAGATCCTGACTTTAAAGTCGGGATCCACCCAGATCTGTGGAGCGGCAGCTGGCTCAGTTTCTCAGCTATGCCAAGAGCCTAAGGCAGCCCCACCTCCCCCTCTACAGCCAAGCTCTCCAGTGAGCACTGGGGGGGACAGGGCAGAGAGCTGGAGGCTGACAGTCCCGGCTCTCTGCTCAGAGCGGAGGGAGAGAACTGAGTGATCAGTGATCGCTTAGTTCTCACACTTGGAACTGGTGGGGGATAGATGCAGCATGTATGCAGATGCAGGTAAAAAAAAAAAATATTCCTAAACTTTTCTTTTAAGTTTACAATGTATCTAAAGCCCATACGTTTTGTTGAGTATGGAAGTGTTGAAACCCCAGTTGGGATTTTTATTAGCTATCTGAGTCCCTGCTGATGAGATCCACCCTCTCTATTGTCCTGGTGTAAGTGGGACAGAAAGTGATGGGAAATCCAAAATGTTATTGTAGACACCAGAACAGGCTAGAGGAAATCTGTGGAGACACCTGTTCCGATGACAATTGTCTAAGAGGGTATTTCTCAATTTCTGAAAATTCTTATTTTTGTAGGATAAAAAAAGTCTTACATGGGCTCTAACTATTGCCTACTCAAAAAAAAAAAAAAATTAAAAACATTTTGACTTTAGGTATATTTTTTTAATCCAAATAACAAAAGAAACACTGCGCTAAAGACCTCCAATTATAGAAATGTGAAGAATGTGAAAGCTGCTAGAATCCAATATAGGATGCACTATAGTACAATACAATATATAAATGCTGCGCTATTCCCAAAACATGCACAAACAAAAAATTATATATATATATATATATATCCACAAAAAAATGTATATATGAATGCAGCAAACCCAAAAGTTAAATATAAGTCCTTGCAAAATAGTGTTTCTTGTATTGTATGTAATGCTGATCCATATTAGATTTGCAAACAGTCATATCCATGATGAGCGTGCAATGTGATCTCCCCACATCACTTTTCAAACGTAACACCTCATGTCCCTCACCATATCCCACTCTGAGGCTTTCCAGAGGATTTGTGACTCTCATGCAAG